CTGGAGTGATTGTTATTGTTGTTGTCTCGCGTTGCACCCGCGCTGTGGCGGTTGTTGTTGCTGTAGTCGCGCGTTGTTGTTGCTATAGTAGCGCGTGTTGTATTTCCGTCGTCGCGCGTATTGCACCCGCGGCTGTGGCGGTTGTTGCTGCTGTAGTCGCGCGTTGTTGTTGTTATCGCGCGTCGATGACGTCGTTACAATAGCCGCTGCTATGGCGGCGTTGTTGTCGCTCCTGTGGTGACCGCTGCTGTGGCGGTTGTTGTTGCTTGACCGCGTTGTAGCCGCTACTGAGGCGGTTGTTGTTGTAGTCGCGCGTTGTTGTTGCTGTAGTAGCGCGTGTTTTATTTCCTTCGTCGCGCGTATTGCACCCGCGGCTGTGGCGGTTGTTGCTGCTGTAGTCGCGCGTTGTTGTTGCTATAGTAGCGCGTGTTGTATTTCCGTCGTCGTGCATGTTGTACCCGCGGCTGTGGCTGCTGTAGTCGCGCGTTGTTGTTGCTATAGTAGCGCGTGTTGTATTTCCGTCGTCGCGCGTGTTGTACCCGCGGCTGTGGCGGTTGTTGGTGCTGTAGTCGCGCGTTGTTGTTGCTATCGCGCGTCGTCGCAATAGCCGCTGCTATGGCGGCGTTGTTGTCGCTCCTGTGCTGACCGCTGCTGTGGCGGTTGTTGTTGCTTGCGCGCGTTGTAGCCGCTACTGAGGAGGTTGTTGGTGACTATTTTTGCCTCGCTGTGCCGCTGTTATAGCGGCTGCTTATGTGGCCGCCGTTGTTGTTGTTGCGGTGGCAGTCCCACTTAAGAACAGACCAGAGCAGCTATAGCTGAAATAAAAACAGTTAGAGAAAGGAACAATTCTAATGGAATACAGTTTTGTTATATGTCTAACCCCATGATATAAAAATAGCAGGTAGTTTCATTTATTGACATTCGTTGTTATTGCCGACCACTTGACTCTTTACCAGTTTGTGACATTTAACTAAAATCATGCTCCCAGATTCACTAGTGGGAAAATTTTTATTTTTTTTTTAAAAGAGGAAAAAAAAAAATTTAAGTTAGTGTAGTTGGATCAAAATATTAAAAGAAAATTCTTGCGCGTTTCCAAACTGCAAAAATTCGGTACATTCGGTAATGCCCTGCAACTTGTAACAGTGCTAATTTTTGGAGTTCTCGGAATTTTCT